AAAGAAAGAAAGAAAGAAAGAAAGAAAGAAAGAAAGAAAGAAAAGAGATAGGTGAACACAGAGAGACTGAGTGAAAATTAAAAACGCTTAGGATTGTCTGATTGCGGAGTATAGGTCCCTGTAAAAATGCAAGATGGCCAGCGTCCCCAAAGTTGTATACGTATAATTAATAATTAATAAATGCTGTGTCATGTGCGTGTACGTGTGTACTGAATGCGCTCGCGTTCCATTTACTTTTTCGTTCCCGTTATATATTTGACAGAGCAATATATATAATGGAAATCTGTCAAACATCATATGGAGGCACGCACGTGCGCAAGCGTACGTGCACGCCCGCTTACGCGAGTGTTTGATCATTCACATTCTATTCTTTTTTTTTTTTTTTTTTTTTTCTACTTTTCTCGAACATCATATATTTTCTCTTATTCTCTTTCTTTTTGCATCTTTTTTTTAATCTCTTTTTTCAAATCTCTTTCTATTTTTGCACATGTATAATATTTTTTTTTCTCTATATGTTTTGCTCGTTATTCAAGACAAAAAGACAACTAAAAAATATATTACGAAAGACCAAATACAATAATAGATATAATATAAGTTACATATATATATGTATATATGAACGTAATATATGCGTGTGCATGTATATAAATATGATAATAATTATAATTAATATATATAATCGCATATATATATATGTAGAATATATATTATATAATATATATATATCGACCCAAAACCCCAAGACGGGGGGAAAACATGCAACATAATGTAGTGTAGCAATAAGAATGTATATAATAATTATATAATAGTATAATGTAATAATGAGGGGGTGGGGGGCTGTTGAAAAAAGGGGGAATATATTTCAATAAATTTCTGTAGCTTGTGTTGGTAGTTTGTAGTAAGTAGTAAGTAATAGTAAGTAATAGTAGTAAGTAGTAGTAAGTTGTAGTTGTTGCTGTTCGTGGGGCGGGGGGAGCTTGTAAGAATGTGTGGAGTGAGGCATGTGGGTACCTCCAGGATCACTGTTTGTGTCTTGTTTGCGCTTCCTCTTCTTAGTTCGGTTGGTATTTGCGCGGGAAGACCAGTCAGGGTACAGCTGCATGTGCAACTGTCTCTCCCGTCGCGCCAACTCATAATACTTGGCCTGTTCCTCTCGCCCTAGCGCGTGCCACTACCGAGAGAGAACCAAACACTATTTGTAATTGTGCATGAACCGTGGGCTAAACAATTATTTTTAATCAAGAAAAAAAAAAAAGAGTTTCACTAATGCTACTACCGCCACCCTAACTTGCATCTTTCGTTTGTATCTTTTTCTTTCTAGTTTTCTTTTTCTGTTCAAAATGTTTGCTCATATATATCTTTTGCGTCTTTTTTTTTTTAAATAATAAAAAATCTCGTTTATCTCGTTTATCTCGTATTCGTATGCGCTTTGTATATGGTATATCATACATGCTCGTTCGACGCATCGTAGCCATCTTTTTGTTGGCTCGAGCATAATTTCAGTAACACTGGGGTCCCTACTTTCCGTTTAAAGTGCTAGAAGAACAGCCTAGATTCTCCCCTCCCCCTCGCTTGTATCGCTATTCGTCGTATCGTTACTTTTATCGTAAAGAACTTTGACGATACAGGGTGTCTGATAGAGAAAATCGGCATCGCGCAGCGATGTACCGTTGATTTATTCGCGAATGAACGTGTTCACACCGGAATTAAGGATTCTCGGCTGGTCTATATACACTGAAAAAATACACTAATCACACTACATAGAAAATAACAGTATAAAAAATAAAATAATTTTTATCCTAAAAAGAAATCATCCAAAGCAAAGCGAAACCATTTGTTAAAAACTAGATTTTCCAAGCTTTTTTTTCCAGTGTACTCGATGTCTTTGAGAGGAGCCAATAGACAGGACTTCACGATCACACAAAACGTGTTCACTTACCGTTTACGATCGCAGAAAAAGAAAAATTTCGATCGTTCGAATGAATGGTTGGTAAGGAGAGATGGTTGAAAGTATGGTGGAGGACCAGCACAGAGTTCTCGCTGGATCGAAAATTCATTTTCGTCGCGACACGTCTCGATGGGCCACGAAGGAAAACGTAGTAGCGGTCCCGTTCGAAATGACCGTGAAGAGAAAATCGATCGGAAATCAGATTTCCTCGGGCTCTACCAGACAACCTGTACCTGAGGCATGTACTGTATCATCGTAACATCATCGCTCTCGTTCGAATGAATCACAGTCAATCTATGTTCGTTCGTTCAACGTGAATACATTTCTTTCGTCTTTCTTTCTTTCCT